GAATGCTGCTTCTAGACAAATACACCTTACCATGCCCCTCTCTGCCAATCCCTTCACTGGCTTCCAATAACCCAACGTATAAAATTCAAAATACTAACCACAGCCTATAAAGCCATTCACAACACTGCCCCTAGCTACATCACCGACCTCATCCACAGATATCAGCCAAATCGCCCCCTCTGCTCCTCCCATGATATCTTCCTCTCTAGCTCCCTCATCACCTCCTCCCATGCTCGCCTCCAGGACTTCTCCAGAGCCTCTCCCATCCTCTGGAACTCCCTACCACAGCATCTCCTGTCAGCCCCACCCTATCTGCCTTTAGGCGATCTCTGAAAACGCACTTCTTCAGGGAAGCCTACCCCACCTCCACCTAAGAACTGTACTTGAATCACCACCACTAGATCATTCCCCGCAGCTATCACCTTTTGTATCATCTCCCCCTTCCTTTAGATTGTAAGCTCCACGAGCAGGGCCCTCACATTCCTTCTGTACTGAAATGTATTGTAATTGTACTGCCTCCCTTATATTGTAAAGCATTGCGCAAACTGTTGGCACTATATAAATCCTATATAATAATAAGAACTTACAAGATCAGTTGCCATTTGCATGGAGGAAAAGAGATTTAAAGTATTTGGAAATAAAACTAACCTCTGCAACAAAGGACCTACACCAGACTAATTATATCCAACTAAATTAAATTTAGTCATTTTCATTATAAATGAAATTAACGAGGCATTGAGAAGACTCTCAGGAGGGTGGGCTTCATGGATTGGGGCGGATATAAATCTGGTTAAGATGGTAATAGTCCCAAAAAATCCTGTATAAGTTTCAGATGTTCCCTATAAACTTACCTGGATTTTTTTTTTAGGATAATAAAAAAATTGATATCGAGATTTATATGGGCTAACAAGAAACTAAGAATTAAGTATGAAACCTTAGGCAATCATAAAGAGAACAGAGGACTAAACTTGCCAAATATGAGGAAATATTATTTGTCAGTGTTATTATCACAATGAGCCCGGGTGTCATCTGATCCGGAGCGGTGGAGGACGGTGGTGCAGCAAGGGAGCGGTGTCGGTGTGCTGGTGGAGCGGAGTGAGAGTCCGCTCCCATGTGAGTCTGGAGTTGGTGTGCTAGGGGAAGTGGCCAAGGAAGGAGAGAGAAGAAGCAAGGACCTGGAGAGGTATGGAAGGACCCGCAGCTGCTCCAGATACTGCCTGAGGACCGGAGGACTGGCGGTCATAGGTTAGAAGGGGAAGGGAGCCGCAGCAATGGAACCGGAGCCTGGGGACATATGGTCAGTTCCCAAATTCATCTTGTATTCCATCGGGCATATAAAATAAAACATATACAAAAAGGTTGGTGCAGATTTCCTGGTGTAGGGTGATTAAGGGTTGCTGCAGACATTTTCCAGCACACTGGGTATATTTGTTTGAGAACTGTATTACCAATGTCTGTTGGTGCAGATAGAAGTCTAATGACTGATATTTAATTACAGCTGATTCTTGTCAAGCACCATACAGCAGACCCACATCAAGCTTTTAAATGTAGATCTATACCAAAGTGTATACAGCGTACCTGTAACAAGCTCTATACAGCTGACTGATGCCAAATGTTATACAGTGGATCCGCACCTTGCTCCAAACAGCAGACTCACACCAAATCTTATATAACAGACCTGTACTAAGCTATATATAGAACACTTTTATTTAATACAATGCAACAGACCCGCACTAAGCTTCAAACAATAGACTCATATGGAAGTCTTAACAAGTGACCTGCACCAAGGTGGTGTAGATTTCCTGGTGCAGGGTGATTAAGGTTTGCTGCAGACATTTCCCAGCACACTGTGTACATTTGTTTGAGAACTGTATTACCAATGTCTGTCAGTGCTGGTGGAAGTCTAAAGACTGATATTCAGTCACAGCTGATTCTCGGCAAGCATCATATAGCAGATCCACACCAAGCTCTTAAATGCAGATCTATACCAAAGCATATACAACGTACCTGCAACAAGCTCTATACAGCTGATTGATGCCAAACGTTATACAGCGGTCCCGCACATAGCTCCAAACAGCAGACTCACACCAAATTTTATACAGCAGACCTGTACTAAGCCATAAATAGTAGGCTCTTGTTAAATACAACGCAGCAGACCCGCACTAAGCTCCAAACAACAGATTCATATGGAAGTCCAAACAAGTGACCTGCACCAAGGTCTATACAGTGAAATTCTGTCTAGTTACATAGTAGATCTGCACAAAACTTCAAATAGTAGATGCACATCAAATTGTATACAGCTGATCTGCATCAAGTTATATATTGCTGACTTAATTCAAGTACTATACAGCAGACACGTATCAGCTGTATATAGCAGATTTACGCAAATTCAATACAGAAGATCTAAGTTAGTCTTATATAGTAGACCTGTATTATATATATATCTATATATATGCTGTATTTATATAGAAGGCCTACCCCAGTCCAAAGTAACAAATGTCATTAAACGGGACTCCTCTAAAGAAAATGAGAAGTAAACCAACTAAAGGGGGTGGCCCTAAAACACCCCAGGCAAGTGCAAACTCCCTTATGATAAAAAAAGATATGCCGGCACAGGGGAAAAAAAGTCCAGAATCGCAAAATTAAGAGAACCAGAACGAGTGCTCTATAAACATGAGAGGTGATCAATTAAGACTGTCACTTGGTAATATGGAGGAGGTCCAAGATAAAGGAAGCCCAATTTCAGAGAGGAGAGGGGAACAAAGAAACGTGGAACAGGAAGGGTCCTTAGTACATACCCTTTCAAAAAAGGATTTGATAGAAATGTTCACGAAATTGGAGATGGTTGTCAAGAAGGAGATCGGGAACCTCTGAGGCGATCTGGGTCATGTTCTGTCCTGTTTGGAGGAGTCGGAGTAAAGAGTAGAGGAACACACATTAAAAATTGAGAGATTAGAAATGCAAATAGAAGAGAGGTGATTAGAAATAAGAGAAGTATTATTTAAAATGGAAGATCAGAAAAAACGCAGTAGAATGACTAATTTGAGGTTTAGAGGTATTCCAGAAGAAAAAGGAAGACTTGCTGGGGAAAATGAAAAGAATTTGCAACCCAATTATGGGAAGACCAGAGACAGATTGTATAAAAATGGACAGAGTATATAGGGTCAGAAGACCAAAGCGTATATCAGCAGAAAGACCCAGAGACGTGATAGCCAGATTTCAGGATATTGGAGATCGGGACCAGATTTGGAAAGGGTTGCGGGATTTTCCAGAAATAAAATTTGAAGATTCAGTCATACAAATTTATGCTGATATTTCCCCAGAGACATTGTGTCAGGGACCGCCGCGGCTCCAGCGCATGCGCACTAGCGGCGGCTCACGCCGGGACACAAGCACCAGGTCCCGGCGGGCCACGGCTGACAGGAGGCCTTGCATGCGCAGTAGGAGCCGCGGGCGTGCCTCAGGCGGCCAATGACAGCCCGGGGGCGCGTCCTGGGCGACCAATGACAGTGCAGGGCGCGATATTTAAAGATGCCCTGCACTGTCACTAATTGCTGCAAGGTCTATCTGTGTTCCTGAGTTCCTGTACCTGTATTGAGACCCTGATTGACCCTGACTACGCTGCCTTCTCCTGTGCCTTTGCCCGGATTGTCCTGACTACGCTGCCTTCTCCTGTATTTGACTCGGATTGCCCTGACTATTCTGCCCTCTCCTCTCCTGATCCTCGGCTTGTTTGACCTATCTGCGGACTGACTTATCCTGCTGACCCTGCGTGTGACCTGACTACTCTTTGCTTGACAATTCTGTACCTCGCTTACCCCACGGGACCGCTGCTCGTGACCCATCCTGCTAGGTCCCGCCGTCCTCCTCACATCTGGCTCTCCCGGTACCTTTACATCCCCGGAGGTTGCCTCTGCCACTGGAGGGCCTGCTCGGAGGTCGTGACCTGGCCCTGGTCTGTTACAAGTCCATCCCCACCATCAGGGGCCCTGGTGAAAGCACAGACCGGGACTTAGATTCCACGCTCTGAGTAGGTCTGTCCAGTGGGCTGCCGGAGGCACCACCATGCGGGTCATAACACATTGGCGAGAAGGAGAGCCCTTATACCACTTCTAATCCATATGAGAGAGAAAAATGTCAGATATAGTTGGAGATTTCCTTCTTGTTTCGGCTGATAGAGAGATGGAAGATCGGCAAGATTGAGATTCCCAGAAGACTACAATGACTTTTGTGAAAAATTGGACTTACAGAAAGTTAACATAGAGAGGTGGTTTGAGGGGATTAGAGAAAGAGAAACCCAGGCCCCAGTTAGAAGGCAATTGGTAGAGGGTAATTAGTAAATAGGAGGTAGATCTTAGAAGATGAGTGCGGGGAAGGGGCTATGGGATAGAGATGGGGGGAGGGGTGGGGATACATAGAGGCCCCCCACCCCTGGTGGTTGGGGGTGTTTGTTCTCCCCTCTCCGTCCAGTGGTCCACTGGGCCGCATTAGAATTTTGTAGTTCCTCATTGGTTTATATCTCCTTGTGCTGATGATCAAGGGGATAGGGGAGGGCTAGAACAGTCCGGTAGGCTCAGCGCATGACTATTTGACAATTAGAGATGTCATCTGTACAGATGAAAGGGAGGTGGTCATGGTGCGAGTCTCACCCCAATCAAGGAATTGCTAGGGGGAATCCTTCTAGTCAAATTCTTAGGCTTATGATTCGCCAGGGGGGTGGAGGGAGAAAAGGGAGGGGGTTGGTGGGGGGGTGGAGGAGAAGAAGGAGGGGAGGGTTGGGGAGGGGGAAAGTGGAGGGGGGGTTGGGGCGATGGGGGTGGGAGGACAAGGGGTAGAGAAGGGGTTTAGTAGTAATTATCTGTATTCAAGTGGAAAGGAATCAAAGGGAACAGATCAAAAAAAGAACAGAGGGTATGAATGAGATTAAGTTTATGACCTATAATGTAAAAGGGCTAAACTCACCCAGAAAAAGACATAAGATATTGAGGGTGTAAGGGACCGCCCGGCGGTACCACTAGCACTCCACTGATCGGATGCTCCCAGCGCACGGAGTCTAAGCCCCAGAGTACTTGTTCACCAGGGCCCCTGATGGTGGGGATGGACTTGGAGTACCTCGGGACCAGGTCGTGACTACTGAGGACACCCGTCAGTGGTAGGGGTATTCGCCAGGGGCTCCCACGGGAGAGAGCCAGGTATGAGGAGGTCTGGAGACCCCGTTGAGAGGGATGGATGGACGGATGGATGGATGGCTGAGCAAGTGCAAGGTCATACAGCAAGCCGGTCGGTAACTATGGGGACGGTGCGGTACAGAGCAGCGCGCAAAGAATAGTCGGGTCACACGCCAGGTCAGCAACAGCAGGTCAGATCCAATAGGGGGCATTCAGGAGAGAGGTGAGGCAAGCAAGGGTCAAGAACAGGAGAAACAGCAAGGTCAGGGCACAATCCGGGTCAGCAACTTACTTTCACAGGTTTCACAGGTACACAGGATTCAGAAAGACCAAAAGGCACTGAATGACAGCTCAGGGCCGTTTAAATATCCCGCCCTGCGCTGTCATTTGGTACCAGGCGTGCGCCCGTGGTCTCTCTACTGCGCATGCGCGAACCTGGTTGCCCGCGGTCGGCCAGGTCCCGGCACCCGCTTCCCTGCACAGGGCGGTGTGTACTGCGCCTGCGCCGAGCCCAGCGGCGCGGTGATCCCCGACAGAGGGAGGTCCAACAATACTCAATAAATATTCTTCCAAGAGACTCACCTAACTAGAAATATAAATGTGAAATTATATTCGAAGCATTATCAAACATGGATATATGCGGATTCACCTGTAAAGGGGGCAAAAGGAGATTTCCAATTGGAGGATAGAATGGAAGATTTGGAAGGTCGATTCTTGTTTATCAGGGGAAATTATTAGGAAAGGAATATAACACTTGCTAACATATATTGCCCAAATAAAAACCCAGCGGGATTTTTGGAAGGGACATTAAGGAAACTCATGGAGTTTAAAAAGGGGAACCTGGTCGTGGCGGGGGATTTTAATCTGTGTTTGGATCCCCAGATGGGATGTGTCATCTGAGGGGAGAAGAGAAGGATAGAGGAGTCTTAAATCTTTGAATGGGGTATTGCATAGATATCAGTTGGTTGATGTGTGGAGGATAAACCATCCGAGGGAAAAAGATTACACCTTCTCTCACATGCCCATGGTACATATTCAAGATTGGATTATATAATGGTGGAGCATAGATAGAAGGAGATAGTAAAAGGATCTAAGATTGAAGTTATGTTATTATCAGATCATGCCCCAGTCACAATGAGGTTTCAAATGGGAGTGGAGAAGATAAAACATTATCTTGGAAATTGAATGATTCACTTTTACAGAATCCTGAAGTGTGTAGAAGAGGATAAAAAGGTAAATTGAACAATTTTTTGAGATAAATGAGGACCGAGGGAATGTCAGAGGCAATATTGTGGGAGTCACATAAAGCCTTACATCAGAGGAAATATTGATTTCCATAGGCATAGAGAAGAAGAAGGAAAGGAAAAAAAGAAAAAAAAAAATAAAACAGGCCATAGAAGAACAGCAAAAACTAGAACAAACTCACAAAAAGGAAAAAGGGGGGATGGATAAATATCAGAAGATAATACAAAAAAGGGATGAGTTGAAAAGAACTGATGGAACAGGATTCTAGGAAGGATATTTAATAGAATGGCTAAAGAAGGATATCAATGGGGGAATAAAACCGGGAAAATATTTAATGAGAAGACTCAGGAATATAAACATGCGAGGAATTTTATTGAAAAAATTAGTGATGGGAAGGGAGAGAATTTGTTTTAAAATATCTGATATGCTAGGAGGTTTCATAAATACTATAGTGAACTTTATAATGTAAGGAAGGATAAGTATGGGGGAAGTGAAGAGGAGGAGGGGAAAAGAATACAGGACTATTTAAGTGAGGTGGAGCTCCCAAAATAAAGCAAAGGAAAAAAAACTAGAAAATCTCGAAAGCCCGATGTCCCCAAGGAAATTAATGTTGCTTTAAAAAATATGAAAGTGGTAAGAGTCCTGGGCTAGATACCTGAAAAAATTTAAGGTGATATCGGTTCCCAAAATATGTAAATATATGAATGTGATAGGAGAGGGAGTAGTAGAAATGAGGGAAGAATCCCTCAAGGCTTATATCACCCTCATTTTGAAGGAGGGGAAATATAGTTTCTCAGTGTTCAAGCTATAGACCGATTTCATTGCTAAACGTTGATACCAAATTGTATGCAAAAGTACTGGCTGCAAGGTTGAAAGGATCTGATGTCCGAATGGGTGCATTTAGATCAGGTGGGTTTTATATCGGGGAGAGAGGGGAGGGACAATGGTCTGAGATCTTTGATGTTGGTACAAAAAGCTAAAAAGGAAAAAAACAACTGCGATCTTATTGTCGATCAATGCAGAAAAGGCATTTGACAGGGTCAACTGGGGGTTTATGTTTGACACGCTTGAAAAATTGGGGCTGGGACCTAAAATGATGAAGTGGATAAAAGGATTATATAGAAACCCATCAGCGGCGGTAAAGGTAAATGGAACCTTATCCCAGTTTTTCAGGATGAATAATGGAAACTAGGCAGGGTTGCCCCCTCTCCCCCATGTTGTTTGTGTTGTCATTAGAACCCACTGTTGGAGAGGATCAGGAAAAGTAATGACATAAAAGGGTTAAAAATAGGAGATAGGGAACACAAAGTCGTGGCTTATGCAGATGACATGCTGTTCTACGTGGCTAACCCTAGGATAACTTTGCCCAACTTAATGAAAGAACTAAAACAATATGGAGGAGTATCAAACTTGAAGATAAACCCCGTTAAATCGGAAATCCTAAATATCAATCTTGCAGTCACAGAAAAGCAAAGATTACAAAATGTGTTTCCTTTTTCCTGGAGGAAAAAAAACGAAATAGGATATCTTGGAATAAAATTAATGACTTTGGTAAAAAGCATATACCAAATAAACTATATTCCCCTGATAAATTAAATAAAAGACGAGCTGAAACGACTAGGAAAGGGGGGGGGGGGCCTGGTGGATTGGAAGAAGAATTAATTTAGTCTAGATGGTGATACTCCCAAAAATTCTGTATAAGTTTCAGATGTTTCCGATATCTTTACCGGGAACTTTCTTTGTAATAATTAGAAAGATGATTACTACGTTCATATGGGCAGATAAAAGGCCTAGGATTAGTTATAAAGTGTTATGCAGAGTAAAAGCAAATGGAGGACTGGGGTTACACCCGAATATAAAGAAGTATTATACAGCTGTAATATTGTCACGGGTGATAGATTGGTAATTCACAAGGGAAATGTTGGGTAATGATAGAAAGGGAATTAACTAAATCACAATTAGATAAAATGATTTGGATACCTCCCGAGTTTCGTACATTAGATGTAGAAATGAGTAAATTGACTAGGATAGTGTTGGATATATGGGACAGATTACACAATAAGGAAAAAAAATGGGAATTTAATTCACTATTGATACCAATAGTGGGAACAGATTTTTTTGCACCAGAGGAAATGTTAAAATCAGTGGAAGATGGAAAAAGGATAAAAATGCACGCTTGAAAGATATTATAAAAGGGGGGGAATATGCACGTTTCAGAATTTAAAAAAGAATAAGGATTTGTTTTTTAGAATAGATGAATGGAAGTATAACCAGTTGTCTTATTTCGTTGCAAATTTACGACAACCATTTAGGGATGAAGGAGAAATTAACCCGTTTGAAAAAACTAAGGAATGCTGAATTAAGCCCAAACACATCACCTCTAGGATACATAAAATCCTTGTGGACTTAGATGATGTAGAGCCCCCTAGATATTTAAGTAAATGGGAAAGGGAACTAGGAATAAAAATCAACCCTCAGCAAAGGGAAGGTATTTTTAACCTAACACACAAGGTAATAAACATGCGCACAGTAGAGATGAACTACAAATGCTTGGCGAGATGGTATTTAACATAAAAAAAACAAAACACCCAGTATAACCAATAAGCATCAAGGGAAAGCTCCCATGGTGCTGGGAGAGGATGTGGAGAAAAGAGGCAATATGGAGCACATCAATATGGTTGTGGAGTTGCCCGAGGATACAGGTTTATTGGAGGTAAATAGCATATTATATATCAAGGAAATATGTGGGGTAGATATTCAAGGGGACCCACTGAAATGCGCTATTATTCTACTATTCTGAGCCCATGCGGAAGTAAATAGGAATAAAGTATTGTACCATTTAATCAGTGCAGCAAAGGGTTTGATACCAAAATTTTGGTTAATGGCAGAGGTTCCGAGGGTGGTGGAATAGATAGATAGAGTGGAAGGCATTTTCAGAATGGGGGAACTGAGAGAAATTTAGATGAGAATATTTAAAAGAATATGGAGTGTTTGGTTAAATTTTTAAAACCACAGAATCTTATACAGAACTAATTAAAGTAAAGGAGGTAGCCTAAGAAATCACGATGAGATTTCGGAATAACAAGTTATGGAGAAATGGATACACATATAGAGAAAGATAAGACAATGATGGGGGGATGGGCAGGGGATGGGTCGGGGGTGGGAGATGGAGGGGTTATAGAATGTATTTATTCATTTAGGGGAGAAAAAAATATAAAAAGTATATTTTGGAAGATGGAAATGTATTTAATGTTTGTATAAGTATGAAATATAAAAAGTTAAGAAATAAAAAAGATGAAAATAGTAGCACGTTGACACGGGATGTATTGAGAGCTTGGGATGGTTTACACAAGTCCATGGGTTGGAAATATAATTTATTATTGTTGCCGTTGGTGGACACAGAATTTTTTCCCCCAGGGAGGGAAAACGTTTATGAAAAATGGTTTAAAGATAGAAAAGCATGTTTGGGGTGATATAGTGATAAAGGGGAGTTATGCACTTTTCAAGAATTAAATGGATAAAAGGGATTTGTTTTTTGCTTTAGATGAATTGAGATATTGCCATTTGAGACATTTTGTCACAGCGCTTCCTTAGCCTCCGGAAGAAGGGACCTTTTGAGCAGCGGCGGACAGCAGGAAGATCGATGTGGGAGAGGGCAGTTGCAGAGCGACGGTTGTGTACCTCTCCCTCCAGCAGCTGACAAGCCAGGACCAGGGGCAGGGCAGAGAGAGCAAGTGAGAGAGGGATGAGAACATAGAGAGGGAGCGAGAGGGAAAACGCGGAAGAGAAAGGGAGATGAGAGAGAGAGAGGGCAGAGAAGAAAGTAAAGAGAGAGAAGGAAAAGAGAGGGAGGAGACAGCGAGAGAGGGAGGGGAAGAGAGAGGGGGGAGAGAGAAAGGAAGAGAAGGAAAGGGGGAAGATAAGGAGGGAGAAAGAAAGAGGGGAGAGAGAGAGAGGGGAAAAGGGAAGAGAGAGAAAGAGAGGAAGGAAGAAAATGAGAAGGGGAGAAAGAGAGGAGGGAAGAAAAAAGAGGAGAGAGAGAGAAAGGGGGGGAATAGGGAGAGAGGGGGGAAGAGGGAGGGAGAGGACTAGAAGATAGAGGAGAAGGGGAAGAGAAGAGAGGGGGGAAAGAGAATAGAGGGAGGGAAGGGAAAGGAAGAAAGAGAGGGGGGGATAAGAGAGAGAGGGGAAGAGAAAGAATGTGGGGAGAGAGGGAGAATGGGAGAGAAGAAGAGAGGAGAAATGGAGAGAGAGAAGAGAGAGAAGGAGGGGAATGGGAAGAGGGGGAAGGGAGGGAGAGAAGAGGGATAGAAAAGAGCAAGAGAAATAAAGAGAGAGAGAAAAGAAGGAAAGAGAGAGGGAGGAAAGAAAGCGAGGGGAGGGAGGGAATAGGGTGAGAGAGAGAGAGGGAGGGGAAGAGGGGGAAAAGGGAAAGTGGGAAGAGAAGGAGGGAGAAAGAAAAGGGGAGAGAGAGGGGGGGAAGGGAGAGGGGGGGGAGGGGTGGAAGGAGAGATAGGGAGGAAGAGAGAAGGGGGAGAGAGGGGGAAAGGGGAGGGAGAGGGAGGAAGAAGAGGGAGGAAAGAGATAGGAGAAAATAGAGATAGGGAAAGGGAAAGAGATAGAGAGGACAAAGAAAAAAGAGGTAAGAGGGAGAGAGGGAAGGGGGGGAGGAGTGGGGGAGAAGGATAGGAGAGAAGGGGGAGGAAAGGGGAAGGAGAGGGAGGAGAGAGAGGGGGGGTTAAAGGGGAGAGAGGGGAGGGGGGGAGAGAGGGAGGGGGAGGAGGGGGGGAAGAGAGAGAGAGAGAGAGAGAGAGAGAGGGGAGGGAGAGGGGTGTGATGGAGAGAAGAGAGAGGAGAGGGAGAGGAGAGAGAGAGAGGGAAGAGAGAGAAGGGAGAGGGGAGGGAGTGGGAAGAGAGAGAGGGGGGGAAGAGAGAGAAAACTGAGAGAGGGAAAGGGAGGAGAGAGCAGAAGAGAGAGGGAATGGGAAGAGAGAGAGAGAGGGGGGGGGAGAGAACAGGGGAGGGGGGGAAGGGGAGAGGGAAAGAAAGGGGGAAAGGGAGGGGAGGAGAGAGGAGGGGAGAGAGGAGAGAGAGGGAAGAGAGGGAGAAAGCAGGAGAGGGGAGGGAGAGAGGGGGAAAGAGGAGAGGTAAAGGGGGAGGGAAGGGGGAAGAGAGAGGAGGGGAAGAAGAGAGAGGGGGGGGAAGAAGGATGAGAGGAGAGAAGAGAGAGAGGGAGGGAGAGGGGGGGGGAGGGGAGGAAGAGAGAGAGAGGGAAAGAAAAAGAGGCAGAGAGAGGGGGGGGGAGGAGGAAGAGGAGGCGGGAGGAGAGAGGGGGAGGAAGAGGGAGGGAGAGAGGGGGGTAAAGAGAGAGAGAGGGAGGGGAGGGAGAGATGGAGAGACAGAGAGGGGGAAGAGAGATCTTTAAAGGGGGGAGGAGGGGAAAAGAGAAAGAGAAGGTGGAGGGAGCGAGAGGGGGTAGAGAGAGGGGGGGCAGAGAGGGGGAGATGGAATAGAGAGGGAGAGAAGAGGGAGGGAGAGAGAGGCAATAGAGAGAGGGAAGAGAGAGAAGGAAGAGAGGGGAGGAAAGCGAGAGAGGGAGTGGGAAGAGAGAGAGAGGGAGGGAGGAAAAGCGAGAGAGGGAGGGAAGAGAGAGAGAGGGGGGGGAGGGGGGGGAAGGGGGAAGAGAAGGATGGAGGAAAGAGAGAGGGGAGAGAGGGGGGGGAGAGAGAAAAGAAAGAAAAAGAGTAGAGAGAAGGAGGGGAGAAGGAGACGGACGGAGGGAGGGAGAGAGGGGGAGGAAGAGGGAGGGAGAGAGAAAGGGGAGGGAGAGAGGGGGAGGAAAGAGGGAGGGTGTCACGAACACTGATGGCGACCCTCTAGTGGCCTACTGGCCGAAGTCCCCCGGGGGCGCGGAGTCTAAGCCCAGGTCTGTGGTTCACCAGAGCCCCTGATGGTGGGGATGGACTTGAAGCAGACTAGGACCAGGTCGTGACCCCTGAGTGACACTAACCGTGGGTAAAGGCAACCGCCAATGGCGTGTAGTGAGTAGGAGCCAGATGTGAAGAGGTGTGACGATGGTCAGGCAAGCTGGTGTAGGTAACAGTGAGGCAGAGGGTACAGATCAGTAGACAAAGAGTAATCGGGTCACAAGCCGGGTTCAGTAACAGCAGGTCAGAAACAAAAGAAGCAGGCAGAGGATGGTCAGGGCGAGCCAAAGGTCAGGGCAGGGAGAAGACAGTGGTATCAGGTCCAGGCAGGGTCAGCAACAAGGCAATCAGCGGAATACAGGAAGAGCAGGAACACAGGAACAGGGAGAAGACCATCAGGCAACTTGTGTCCTCTGCAGGGCTGGTTTAAGTAGCCCGCCCGGCGCTGAGAAAGGTGCGCCTGGGTCCTAGTGCCTGCCCAGCGCCGTCATAAGGTGACAGGCGCGCCTGGGTCACCTAGTGCCCCCCCTGCCTGCAGTGTCTTGTCGGACACCTACGCAGAGCATGTGCAGACTTATGCGTCACGGTGGTCCCTGGACATTGCCCCCCCCCCCTACGGGCAGCCTCCGGATGCCCAACTGACCTCTCCTTGTGGGTGGTTACTGCTGGATTAATCTGGGAGCGTGGATGTTTTTGGGCAGGTTCCCACAAATTTTCCTCCAAGCCATAGCCCTTCCATTTAATTAAGTATTGTACCTGGCCTCCCCTCCTTCTGCAATCCCAAAATTGCCTCCACTTCAAATTCCTCCTCTCCATTAATGTCCAAGGCTACCGGAGGTCTTGACTTATGTTCTGGGAAAGGGATCTGGAATTGCTGGTTTCAACAAGGATATATGGAATACTGGATGTATTCGAAAAGGACTCAGGGGGGCAAAGCTAATTCAAAAGCCACCTCATTGATTTGCCGTTTTTTACCGAAAAAGAAAAGGGGCCTAAAATTTAGGTGCCAGCTTTTTTAAAGGGCAAGCCATCTTCAAGTTGGTAGTAGCTAACCAGACTTGGTTTCCCAGGTGTATAGCCAATTCTCCCTTGCTCCTATCAAATGCTCTTTTGTTATCCTCCTGGGCCTTAGTTACTGCTTCCTGTAGTAATTTGCTGTTAGAGGAAAAAGAATTTTACAATATCTTGCGCTGCTGGTACTGTGTTTTCCAGAATTAAATCTGGAAGGAAAGTGGTTGGAACCCATAATTGGCATAAAATGGGTGATTGTTTCGTGGCGGAGTGCTTTGCATTATTGTAGGCAAACTCAGCTAGAGGTAGGAGTGCCAACCAGTCATCTTGGAGGAAGGATGTATAACACCTGAGGCATTGCTCCAACGTCTGATTGGTCCGCTCTATCTGCCCATTCGTCTGTGGATGATATGCCAAAGAAAATGATAACTTGATTTCCAGCATTTCACACAAGGCTCTCCAGAATTTTGATGTGAACTGAACTCCACGATCAGATACTATATTTCTAGGTACCCCGTGCAATCTTACCACTTCTTTGATGAAAAGCTGTGCAGTCTCAGAAGCTGATGGTATATTTCTGAGTGGCAGAAAGTGGGCCATTTTAGATAAGCGGTCAACCACCACAAATATTGCTGTGTGGCCTTGCAAAGGTGGCAGCTCCACAATGAAGTCCATGGACACAATCCTCCATGATCTGTCAGGTACCAGTAAAGGTCGGAGTAACCCCCAGGCTTTACTCCATGTAGGTTTGCTCCTGTTGCAAATGGTGCAGGTCTTGACGTATGTTTCACAGTCTTTGACCATACTTGGCCACCAAAACATGCGCTGGGTCAGTTCCAAAGTCTTGCTGATTCTGCGGGGGAGAGTTTCCTGGAGAAGACGGCTATTGGATGCATGAGGTCTTTGATGCCGCTTCTCTGTGACAGGATAGCCCCTACTGTGCATTCTGATGCGTCTACCTCCAGAATGTAAGGTAGAGATGGGTCTGGGTGACTCAAGATGGGGGCTGTCGTGAATAATTTTTTCAAGCTCTCGAACGCCGTCTGTGCTTCTGGCATCCAATGGAAGCGTAACCCCGATTTAGTAAGCTGAGTGATGGGGGAGACCAAGCCCGAGAAATTCTTAATGAATTTTCTGTAAAAGTTTGCGAATCCCATGAACCGTTGAACTCCCTTCTTGTCTGTGGGAACTGGCCACTCCAGGATTGCGGAGACCTTCTGGGGATCCATGGCAACCCCTGAGGTGGAGATGATCAATCCCAAGAACTGGATGCTATCTTGCTCAAAGCAGCATTTCTCCGCCTTGGCATACAGGCCGTGCTGCCGAAGCTGCTCCAGCACATTTTTGACATGGTCTCGATGAGTCTCCAAGGACGGGAAGAAGATTAAGATATCGTCAAGGTAGACAATCACGAAGATATCCAAATAGTCCTTGAAGATGTCATTTACAAAGTGTTGGAAAGTTGCTGGGGCATTGCACAACCCGAAAGGCATCACCAGGTACTTGAAATGCCCAAATCGGGTACGAAAGGCCATCTTACACTCATCTCCCTCACGAATACAGACCAAATTGTAGGCACCTCGAAGATCCAACTTAGTGAAAATAGAAGCCGCCTTTAACCTTTGAAACAACTCGGGAACCAGAGGAAGAGGATAACGATTCTTCACAATAACCTTGTTTAATTCCCGGTAGTCTACACAGGGCCTCAGCGAGTGATCTTTTTTCTCTACGAAGAAGATCCCGGCTTCTGCCGATGACGTGGATGGGCGGATAAACCCCTTCTTGAGACTCTCCTTAATGTAATCCTTCAGAGCCCCCAACTCTCATTCCGACAGAGCGAAAATCCAGCCAAAAGGAATCTCTGATCCTGGGAGGAGGTCTATTGGGCAGTCATATGCCCGATGTGGGGGAAGGATGTCTGCTCCTCGTGGGCTGAACACATCAAGATACTGTAGGAGTGGTAAGCCGGTGGGATTGTTTGGATCAATTCTTTGTCCATGGTCACACAGCCTAGGGACTGGGTGACTCAGGGCGTCTTGAGGCAACAGTATTTTTGGCAGTAGGAAGACCTAAACTGAATTTCACCAGTCTTCCAATCAATGTGAGGGTCGTGGGCTCGCAGCCAGGGAAGTCCTAAGATTACTGGAAATAGGGGTGACACGATGGCATCCAAACGAATGAACTCCTGGTGGTGCCCAGCTATTGTAGTGTGGATTGGAGGGGTCTCTTGGTTTACCAACCCGGACTTTATCCGAGACCCATCTGCCAAAAAGATATTCAGGCCTTGCTCCTTGGTCTGCAATGGAATCTCGCTGTGGATCATCGTAGAGGAGTTCCATAGCCTTGAAAAAGGATGACACAGAATTTAAACTGGGATGATGATCCTGTAGTAACTGATGGGCCCAGCCTTGGGGTTCTTCCTGTAATAACGAGATGATGAACCCCACTCTTACGGATTCTGAGAAAAAGGTTTGGGGTTGGAGGTCGAAGTACAGCAAGCAGGAGTTCCGGAAGGCATGGAACTTCTTCTGATCCCCATAAAAACGCTCTGACGTAGGTAACCGTGGTTCAGGTGGAGGAAAGGTGAGTACAGCTCTGGCGGGGAATTCCGCAGATTCCTGGGTCACAGATGGACCTACCATGGTTGCGGACGTGGCTGTTGGTCTGGTGAGCGTCTGGATCCACCCCTCCAGCTGCGTGTATCCCCTTTGCAGGGTTTACACCACCTGGGTGAGTGGCGCCAGATGCTGGCATATTTCGTCCAGCGGGGAAGGACCTCTTCCTGACTCAGTCATGGCCTGATGTTCTGTCACGAACACTGATGGCGACCTCTAGTGGCACACTGGCCGAAGTCCCCCAGGGCGCGGAGTCTAAGCCCAGGTCTGCTGGTTCACCAGAGCCCCTGATGGTGGGGATGGACTTGAAGCAGACTAGGACCAGGTCGGGACCCCTGAGTGACACCAACCATGGTAAAGGCAACCGCCAATGGCGTGTAGCAGGTAGGAGCCAGATGTGAAGAGGTGTGACATGGTCAGGCAAGCTGGGTAGGTAACAGCGAGGCAGACGGTACAGATCAGTAGACAAAGAGTAATCGAGTCACAAGCCGGGTTCGGTAACAGCAGGTCAGACAAAAGGAGCAGGCAGAGGATGGTCAGGGTGAGCCAAAGGTCAGGGCAGGAGAAAACAGTGGTATCAGGTCCAGGCAGGGTCAGCAACAAGGCAATCAGCATACAGGAAGAGCAGGAACACAGAAACAGGGAGAAGACCATCAGGCAACTGGTGTCTGTGCAGGGCTGGTTTAAGTAGCCCGCGTGGCGCTGACAGGTGCGCCTGGGTCCTAGTGCCTGCCCAGCGCCGTCATAGGTGACAGGCGCGCCTGGGTCCTAGTGCCCCCCTGCCTGCATGTCTTGTCGGACACCTACGCATGTGCAGACTCATGCGTCGTGGTGGTCCCTGACAGAGGGAGAGAGAGGGGGTTAAAGAGGGAGAGAGAGAGGGAAGAAAGAGAGAGAGGGAGGGAGAGAAGGGGAAAGAGAGAGAGGGAGGGAGGGAGGGAGAGAGAGAGGGGGGGGGGGAGAGAGGGAGGGAGAGAGCGGGGGGTGGAGAGAGGGGGGGAGAGAGAGAGAGGGGGGAAGAGAGAGGGGGGGTGGGGGGAGAGAGAGAGCAGAAAGAAAGGGAGGGAGAATCATATATACATACACACACTTCTTGAACTCTCTCGCGCTTGGGTGTAGCCAACTTGTGCATCAGAGATGGACGCAGATTCCCCCTTTATTAAAAGTATTAAATGTATCCCTTATTCTCCTTCCCCCTCCCTTCCTGAGAGGCACAGTGACAGATGTGTGTGTGTTAAAAGTGTCACTGGCAGGTAGAGCAGCAGGGGGCCCAGAGCTACAAAGCCCCCCAAGAGAGACAGAGCCACTCTGCCCAAAAACCTGTGGAATCTCTCACCTCGTAACAGAGATAAGGCAGCTTATCCTAGGAATTGAAAGAGGTTTTAACCTTATAAAACCTAGCAGCGTAGGCGACAGAATTAAATGAACATTCCTCAAGTCAGTTTTTCCCCTATGTTTCATATCTTGAAATATGGAAGACTTACATAAAAACCGGGCACCTCGTCAGTTGGCCAACGTGCAGACGGACATTCTGATAGGTCTCTCCATTCATTTCACATGCTCAGGGAAGCAGAAACATAGATCTTGTGAACCGTGCGGCCT